GGGCCCCGCTCGGTGCCGGCGCGGGGCTCCAGCGCGGATCAGGAGCCGCCCGGGAACGGCGGGAGGCATTTGGAAGAGTTCGTGCGAGCGTGGTGCTGTCCCTTGCAATTCCTCAGAGGGTATTTAGTTATAATGAGATTATCCACGTGGAGACCTCGGGAAAGGTGGGGTGAAGGGGAGTGCAGCAAGGGTGAAAGCCCAGGAAAGAGATTATACAGTGAGATGGAAAATAGGACGGGTAGGGCTGGGCAAGCTGGTAGTCACTGGGGATCTAAGACTATTCAAAATTACAGTTAGCGGCTTCAGAGGCAGTAAGAGTCTGTGGGAATATTAATTTCTCCCTGGTTTCTGATTATTATTCCCTAATTAATGTGTTTGGCAAGTGTTGGCAGTCACTTATTAAGGAAGAAAATAAGAGAGAACTTCCTTACCTTAACCAGTTATTAGCAGCTAGCAAATGCCTGGCTACAGGGCATAATTGCTACTTAAAGGATGTGAAATTTATATATGTATACACATAATATATAAATGTAGAATTCCATTTTTAAAAAGGTCTAGAGCTTCTGTCAAGGGTATTGAGGCATTTATCATATCCAACACAAAGAAAGCTAAGTGAGGGACAGATCTAGATACCACTGAGCTTTTTTTCATTAACTTCCTTCTAAATTTTATGCAAAAAATGTCAAAATACATGTATACCACAGTTATTTTGCTTCATTTCGGTGAAAAATGTCACAAAATTAGTAACGCTAAAAGCAGATAGAAAATATTCACCTTGAAGGAATGTTTATGTTAAACAGTACTGGAGAGAAGAGACTGTAAGGGAATGAAGGGCTTAACCCCAGCCTGCACTGTACAAGAGAGAGAGCATCATACAAAGTCACTGCAACAAAGAGGGGGGAGAAAACCCCAAACCAACAAAAAAAAACTTACCACATATCCCCATACTGCCACACAGGCTTACCTAAGAAGACTAATTTAAAGACAAGAGAGAAGAAAATTACCATGCAGTCTTTTAATAGAGGGAATTATTGCTCCATGTAGAAATATGTTCAAGATCTTTCTTGTATTTTGTGAAATCATACAAAGTTTAATCATTGGTTTAGTTATTTGGGAACAACACAGTGCTGTCGTAGTTGAAGTCTATATCTGCCAGAAACTCTGCAGCATGTTGCAAAGACAGATGCATGTAACATATTTAAGAACTTTATCCTTTCTAGGATATGTTTTGCACATTTAATATTAGAGAGAGATTTATTGTTAAATGAATCGTCTTCTGACATCAAAGGTTTAAAACTTTTTAATTCTGTCCTTGTGTTACAACCTTTGACACCTGAAGTCTTTAATTGGAAAAGGTCTATAGGGAATCTATAAATTTTAAGTTTCATAAACATCAAACCTACAGGGAACACTGAACAAATTGTATTTTTGGTCTGTTTGTCCACAAGATGCAGAGGTTTTGGAATTATGTATGGTACAGCTAAGTGAGGGTTTAGTTAAGTTCTTCTCTAGAAGAGACTAAAACGTCTTTTTCTGACTGTGCACCTCTAGATGCTTCTGAGGCATCTATATGCTTTTCTTTGTGGAGAACCATGAATTATGAGAGAAAAGAGCAATTTGTTTTGATACTTCCTAATGTCTAATAAAAAAGAGTTGACAAAAGGAAGCTTTACAGTAAAAGTGCTTGCCTAGAAAGTTTTTAAAAAAGCAAGATCGGTTGTGATAAGTGCATATAACAGGTTCTGTGTTCAGTTGAAGGTCTGATGCAGTCCCCTGTGAAAAAACACTGCTGTGTTGTCTACACCTACTTCAGATAGGAACATATTTTTGAGAAGTCAAGGAGTTCACTCAAACTAAGAAAGGTATGATAGATAAAAACATCTCTGTGTTTGTCTGGACACAAGTCAGCAAGTGCCTGCGATATCTATTTTAATGTGGATTTTTTTTTACACTCATCTTACTCCATCTCCATCATTAAGGCAAATGATTGTTCCTCAGTGGGCGTAGTTTGTATCATAAACCAGCTGAAAATACAGTTGTCTTTGAGCTGTGCTGAAGCATAGCTTACATAAGCCAGTACTTGCACCTAGACATTGCATTTTGCGAAGCTCTTAAAATTAAGTGTTCTGCTAGGAGCCAAAAGTGGTTCTCCTGTACCAATTGAACAGAGCTGATGAAGTGTGAAAACTGATGTATTTTCCTGTGTGATGAACATCTAATTCACAAGGCAAGGAACGCAATGGGGAAAAAAGTTTTAATTTCTTCAAGTATGCATTCACACAGATAGCAAATCATAACTAATTTTAGCATTGATGAGACTAAGGCAGAGCTATTGATGAGAATATATTTTGCTAGGTACTTCTTAAAGAAGTAATTTTTTTAAGTCTTAGTGGTTATTGTGTCTGCATTGGTACCTCATGAACCTGATATTATAAAACAATAAAAAAATAATTATATCATTTATTTATACCAATACATACTTTTTGCTAAGTTTCACTCATATTTTGGCAAAGCAACGCCAAGTCATGTTTTGCCTTTAAAACTATAATGAAGCTTTTAGGCTGGGAAAAAAAAATGCAAATTCAAATCAGTGTAAAGAAAATGTAGTTAAATCTTGATTTTAAAATATACTGCATATGCTTTCAATTTTGATTTTTTTAAAGATATTTACACATTGATTCAATGCCTCCTTTTTTTTATTAATTCTTGTTTTTTCTTGCCTCCTACATCTTTGAAAAAGTTTCACTATACTTACACATCATTTTGTATTTTCTAGGTAGTGTAAATGTTGTGTCTGCTCTAACTTAACAATAGGGACTTTTGTGATATGCTTCTATCTTAATGATATTTGTGTTCAACTGAAGTCACTGATGAATTCTTTTCACTGTCTGCTGATACTTTCAGGCAAATCCAGTGTTTTTAATAATTACAATGCTGTGGTTATAGATGATTTCTGCATATTCCTAGTTCTGAGGAATAATCCTTTATCTTATTATTAAGGTATATTAATATTATTTTAAGATATATTAAATATAAATTAAAGGTATATTAATTTAAGGTATATTAAATATAATTAAATATAATATTAAGGTATATTAATAAGATAATATAATATTATCTTATTAATAGGAGTATTGTCTTCCCTAAATAGATATGCTAATTAAGTGTGAGAAATGGTAAAATCAGGACCTCAAATTAGATTCTATTTAATCCTATTTCACAGTCTCCATTTACTATATAGACACAGGCCCAAGCCTGAGTGAAGCCCAGGTTAGGTAAAGCCTAGAATGAAAAGGGGGATAAAATCTGAGAGACATTCTATAAACAGTCACAGCAGGTAGCAACAATTTTGTCAATTTCCTGATACGAAAGTGATTCTTCCACCAAATATGGCACCAGGTATAAAGAAGAAAGTAACATTAGAATTTTTTTAATGGAGAATGGTAAAATGTGTTATTTAGTTTTGTAAATAACTGAACTTCTTTTTTTTCCAATCTGATTTTCAAAGGTAGACGTTTGTCAAGAATTCATTCCACTTACATGAAGATTCACATCGTAAGTACACTCATCTTCAGAATTTTGGCCAAAGTGATTGAAGTTCGAGAAGTTAACAGGTAACTGAAAATGAGGTTTTTAATGGGCAGCCTGAGATAATTGCAGAATTCATGTTACAATCTAGGTAAAACAGAATTTATTCATTTGTTCAACCAGTGAAGCTTTCTCAAGTTGCCCATGTTTAGTTGCTAGTTGCTTAGTTTTTAGGGAGGGAAGGCATGTCATATACATTATAATAGCAATTGTTTTGAGGATTTAAAGGAGTGTTAAATATGAATTCTTATTCAAATCTAATGATAATAATAATAATAATAATAATAATGACTCTTGTTTAAGGTAGGTGGTAATTCCACTTAATGAGAACATTTACCAATGTTTGTCTTTCACAGAGCCCTTTTTAATTCCTCTGATCATTGCTTTTAGTATTTCTTCAGCTGTGACACATACATAGAAATTTAATTGTAGTTGTAACTTTCAGGTTATGTGAACTTGTTAACTACTGTTAGAGTATGTTAGAGTTAACTACTGAAGAGTATGATCCAATAGATGTATTTAATTTCCTCCATTCTTTAGTAATTACTTAGGAATAGGTTCAAGTGTACTGTATACCTTGCTAGCTCAATGGATATATTCAGTGTTACAAAGGTACATGACACCATGGCTCCCACACACTTACCTGCAATTTCTTGGGATCATTTGGCTTATAATGAACTGCACAGTTGCTGGGGAAGCAGCATTAGTTTTAAATGATACCTATTAGCCAGAAATTCTTACTGAGGATGGAAAGTATTCTAGTTCAAAAGCTACAAAGCTACTCTTACAGTCTCTAATCTGGCCACCTCAGAAGGAAATTGCTACCATCATCAGCAGGAGTCAAATATTCATATCTACTTTGTAGTTAAAGAGTTTGGAAAAAATCTGGTTGGTACACCAAGAATGGAAGTTAGGCTATTCTTCTGCCTGTTAATCAGACATACAACCTTCCTCCTAACGTGCTCTCTGAAAGATTTTTGCATTGCTTAACTAGTTTTGGACCTAAATTAATCATGAGCCTCCTGGTCCACTGAGGTGCTATGCAGTAGCCTAACCACCAGGAGAAAAGAATTCATTTAAATTCTTTTTGAGGAGTCCTGACAAGGACGTGAGGGAAAGTATCAAATAACCCAGTAGGAGTAGGTCTATATGGGGAGAGTATTGGTGATGAGACCCGGAAATCCATTCCATTGGTACTTCTAGTGGAGGTACAGGTCCATTCCCACGGATAGAAAAGCTGCACATTGGAGAAGAGAACAATAGCTCATGGTTTCAACTAAGTGGCCAGTTTGCACTCAAAAACTACTCTGATGTGTACCAAGTAGGTAAGTTAGGATGGTCAGGAGATTTGCTTCAAAACTGCCCCTTGATCCAAACAAAAATGCTAAACCAGATGCACCCAAAGCAAGTAAGTGTTAAAAATACACTGCTGTCTTGAGATCCAATGTGCCTGACTGGCCTCACAAAGAAAGAGTGGCAAGAGCTATACCCACATTTGCCTCATTTCAAAGAAAGCTGGTTTCCTGTGAAAAAAAAGGCAAGACTGTGTTTCCCAGCAATATTTCTGACAGCTTCTACACTGACTTACAGTGTTAGTATATGCAGAGAACAGATACCCTGTAAAGTTTTCCTTTTTAAACTGAAACTAAAATTATATGCAAGCTGGTCTAGTCCTTGATACCACTTCTAAGCACAGGGTTACATGAATTTGAAAACTGCTAAAAACATTTATGTTTGGTTCTTTTTCTTGTGTGTAAATTTGGCCCCTCTTTCTCAATTCATTAGAAAAAATAACCTAAAAAAAAAAAAAAGCAATCTGATTATAAACACAATGTAATCCTCGAAATAACTTACATTCCTCTGGTATTAATTGAACAGGATTTAAAGAAGATTCGAAATATTTTCCATCAGGGATGAAGTATATTTAGTCTTTTATTGCAAAAGCTCATGTTCCTTAATGTCAGGTTAGAAGGATGTGGAAAAAAGTGCCTAATGACTAATCTAAGTAAGCATATTTTCCTGAAATTTGCCACTGTGGGAGTATAACATGCATAAATTGGAAGAATTTATTTTTCTGTGTCTTTTCTGAGTGGGGTTATTATCATCTGTTGTTTAAAATCTATACCCTATCCTAACTCCCACTGTGCCTTACAACAGGATTAGCAAATCTGAAGCATTCTCCAAACACAAGTCCAGGAGTGTTTTATTCCAAAATACAGAAATTTACAGACTAATCAATAATAAAATATGTTGAGCAAACTTAGAAAGTCACCTGTTTACTTTGTGGTTTGGAATAATCCTTTAATTCTAACTGGTTACCCTCTTTTTATCTCATCTTACATGCTACAGTCAGACTTGGTAGCAAGATTTGGGAGATTCAGGTGTATAAACTCTTCAGGCTATGTAGATGTCAAAAGGCAGCAGACCTTTACTCATATATACTCTGCAAGTTCGATGTTCAAAGATGCCAACAATGTTTTATGAGCATTTTATTATACTCAGTGAGCCATACTTGAACATTGCACTTTTCAAAGGTTTGTGATTTCAGGGAGGATAGGAAAAAAATCTAAGGAAGAATGGAAGAGTGATGTCTCTTGTTTTGTAAGTCCCGAGGTCCATAGTGTAGGCCAAAATTTACACTGGATTATTTCCTATGAGCCACTACAAATAAAACAAATTGAATTTAAATTACCTATTTGTCCAAATACTTAAACCCCCTTGATCTGAATGGAAAGCAAAAGGTAAAAAACATTTCAGAGCTCACAGATGCTCTGAGGCTGTATGCTACAAAGTGCAGGAAAAAGAGTGAATTGCAAATTGAGCAAAATAAAAGAGAAACAAAGCATAAAAATCCCGTAATCATTCACATAGGCAAGATAAGTAATCTCATAAAGCTGGATTCTAACTGAAACATTAATATGGAAAAACCTCTTCAAATTCAGTGCTAAGTAGGGAAAGATTAGAAATCCATTTTAAAAATCAATGCTTTGAGTTCTTGTTTTTCCTATGTATCTAATAATTCTTTTTAAATAAGGGGGACAGAGACAAGAGGAGGTGAGCAGGAGTGTTGTTAGGGCAACTGGAAACAAAGTAGGAGCTAGAGACAAAGGTTAGAGAGAACAGTGGAAACTGGAGTGAGAAGTCACAGCTCATAGAGAAAAGTACCCAACCCAAGAAAGGGAATGTTGTGGGAAAAGGGTCTGTAATATGGAAATGTCATATAAGAGAAATACACCCATTTGAATAAAGGGAAAACTTACCAGAAAATAGTCACTTCCTTCTGCATTTTTCACATAGCACTGACCATAACTCAACACTGAGGAACTTTTTAGGTGACCACCATCAGTGCTTCTATGCATTGTTAACTCCCTCAAGAGGTCTCCTCCAAGTCCTTGAATACCTAAGAGCTCTTAGGTTTTTCAGTTTGGGCTCAGAGTGTAGAGAACACATTCACAAGCTCATAAGAGAAATTAGTGTGTACATTTTGGTAAGATAGAGATTTTTGTTTTTTCTTTCAATACAGTTGTGTGTACAACAGAGACGGAAGCCAATCTTCTAGTAACATCCTAAGAGACATTTTTATGAACTTCAGAGCAGGAAGTAATCTTTCATCAGGTACACTTTCTTACAAGGATACATTAATGCATATATTTCCATGAAAGGATCTTAACAGGCTGGTGGGAAAACTAGCATTGTTTTCCACAGATAAAAATAATAGAAGAAAAAAGATAGCATGTCTTTTCAAGGCCAGTGAATCAGTGAAATAGCAATTTGTTGTAAAGCCCATGTATTACTCATACAATCACACTTGTCTTTTTCTGCCTGGAGAATTCTTTTCCTCCTCCCAATTCATTTTTTCTCCCTATTTTTCTCTCTTGGTTTTTCTTCAGTTTATTTTTCCTCACTTAACCTCTGACTTTATCTGATGCTAAAAAAAGGACAAAGGCAAAAGCCTACAGGAACCAGCATAGTCAGAATCTTGTATTTTACTGACATTTTACTGTCCAGCACTGCCTTTTAATTTGTGGGAGAGAACAGCATTTCATGCTGTATATATTGCTGACATGTGGAATCAGGAAAAACAGTCACACTCTTGACTTCCTTTGAGAGGGGCTCCCTCAGCCAGGAAACAATTCCCTTAATGAAGCAGACATGTAATACCAGGGCAGCCCAGCAGCCTTTGTTGTATTCAAATCTTGTATGCATGGCAGTATTTTTTACCTCTGCTCATAACCTTGGTACATTTATAGGTGTGTTGAATTTTCAGGTTTTAAATCATCACAGTAAAAAATAGCTCAATCATTCTTATTTATTGGAAAAGTCCCATTTTTGTCACAGCAATCTTATTTTAAATGTAAATGTCCCAGATTTAGGTTTCTTAGGAAGGAGGAGGTATAATGTAGAAGGTACAACAATTAAAACTATATAAAATAGACTTTCATGTCTCTGAGAGTTTGTTTACTCTTTCAGCTCTTCTCAGTTTAAATTCACCAAATCAAGATATGAAGCACATGAAGGGCTTGGGCTATTCTGCCTTTCGCATCATTAAAATGTAGCGCTGTTCTCAGGATAAGCTTTGTTGCTGTCTGATAAATATTCATAAAAGTCAGTGAATGCAATTCAGCAGAGTTCTGTAATCTCACAAAATAAGTACTTTGAAAAAATCCTATCAGCTCTGCTAAAATTGCTTGTACTTTTATACAGTTTCCTCAGGTAAAAAAACCCAAAAACCAATAGTAAAAGTTAAGCATTATACTGTCACATATTACAGGCACAGAATTATTAGAGACTTTTCTAGGATTTGGTTTTTTATTCTCTATGATAAGAGTAACATTGCAGAAGCTGATAGGTGTTGAAGCAACTGCAAAAAATTAAGGAGCAGTCTAGGGTCCCACAAAGACTGCAGCTCTGTGCTGTGCCTCAAGGGAAAGTTAGATGAGGTGAAGGGCTGTTTGGTTAGGTGGGAAGGGTATAATTTGCATAAAGCAAAATACAAATATTTGAATTCAATTAAAATATAATATAGACATTGTCAACATACTCTTCCTTGAAGTCTTTATTTTAAAGCACCGAAAAAACGCAAACCATGGGAGTAATGATACTACTGATTCTGACAATTGAGCTTCAGTGACTTAGACTGTACATGTTTGATCACTTTGAAAAACAGTTTTCCCACTGGCATGGTTCTCTCAGCACACACTTGCTGCATACCAGCTCCTGCTGTCATCAGTCAAGGATTTTTATCAGACTGTACCTTCATGCCTGCATTGATTATGAGTTTGGCATTTGAATCACTCTTTTTTTCTAGACCTGTTTAATACCAGAGATATTCTAAGGGCAAAATGCTTTTGCAGACAGGATGAAATTATGGAACAAGAGAGCAGGTCGTAGTGTTGTTCAGTAAATGACCACCGAAGTACACTTGACACAAGCATTACTATTGGTGCTTCTCCTCCAGTTCAGTAAAGGCGGGGAAAACAATATTTTGAGTTGGAGTATTTTGGGAGAGTGGTCATCAAGGTATTCTTTTCTACCTCTCTCCAGCAGACCCCAATTTTTATCTCTAAACTCATCTAGGACCCACTGCTGTTCTCAAGCTAGTCTACCTACTCAAGGGTCTTTTGGGAATCTTAGGAAGAGTCTTAGAGTTGAAAGAAGGACTTTTACTTCACATTGATAGCTGTTAAGTCTAAACTTTGTTTTGACCCACATCAAGTATAGCCTGGTGACACAGGTAAATGACTCCCTGGGCATTTTCGTATTTCTCCCACAGAAGCCAGATGAAATGCGTGACCCTATTTTCCTTCCTGTTTCACGCCCTAGGTGGTAAGATAAAAACCCAGCTGGGATTTGTCTCCTGCCTCCCCAGGTGATCGGGAAATTGCTGGAGGGAGGTTCCTGGGCTGACTCAGAGCTTCAAAGCACGGTTCCGAAGGGTGGTACCAGCACGCTCCTCAGAGCTACTGCACTGGGGAGCCAGTCAGGACCACCCGCTGTTGTTGCGCGGAGGCTGCTGGTGTCACGGTACCCGCGGTACCCCGGGGGAGCGCAGAGCAGCCGGGGCCGCCCGACACCCGCTGGGGCATCGGCACAAGGGGCCGGGGCTCCGGGCACTGCAGCGGCCGCGAGCTGCCCGCTCCGGGAGGCGCGGGTGGACCGGCGGCCCCAGGGCCTTGAG